TTAATTTTTATTTCCTTCAAAACTAGGATATGAAGAGTACATTAATATGGGCATTGATCCTAAGAAGCTTGTGATGGGTGTCCCCTGGTACGGCTATGACTATGTCTGCCAAAACCTATCTAAGGTAAGATGAAGCTCATTCATTTGCAATCGTACGGTTAATTTTTTTCCTTGGAAAGAGACAGCTAGATTTTGGTGATGCTGGTTTTGGATTAGGAAATACTGTGGTCTGATGGATAAGAGCATAAAGCTGGGACTCAAGACGGAGGCATTTGCTTGGCTGGTGACTGATGAGCAGTGTGTTACCAAACAAGGCATTTTATCTCTTCCCTAGGCAGCCTGAACCCTGTGAAACCCAAGTGCCATGCTTGAGTAAGGAGCTGTAGATGTTATCTGTGTGAGAAGAGATGATGTCCCAAGGCACTACAACGCTTGTATCTGCCTTCTCAACGCAGTCACTAAGCTCACTGCATAAAGACTAGGTGCAACAAACCATAGCAAACCTATGACTGTTAAAGTGTTAAAGTATCCAAGCAGTTTTATGGATAAATTATGGAGTCGCAAGCAACATTATACTTACGAAAAATGTAAGAATGAATTAAAAGTGGAAAAGATAAGACAACTGTATAAGTTGAATGAGGTCCATCCAATCCTGTGGTATTACAGAGTAAACAAAATTTAACTGTTTTAATTTATTTCTGTCTACCAACAGTATGTCTGCCACAGTGACTTGAAGATTTGGGGTTTTTGAGACCCCAGTGCCTTTTGTGACTTTCTTCTTGGCTCTACTGCTATTTTGGAATTCAATAAATCTACGTAACATGAAACTCATACCTTCTGCTTTTTTTTTCAGGATCATGTTTGTTCCCTTTCCAAAGTGCCTTTCCGTGGGGCTCCTTGCAGTGATGCTGCAGGGCGCCAGGTCCCCTACAGAGCAATAATGAAGCAGGTGAACAGTTCGCTTTCAGGGGTGCTGTGGGATGAGGTACAGAAATCTCCATTTTATGAATACAAGGTAAGTGTCTCTTTATATGACACCATGTTGTGGAGTAAACGTTCGTGAGCCATAGTTCTTTGATTATGAAGATTTCAGGTGATTCTTCCATTTTTGTTTTCTACTTCTTTCGTGTAGTAAAGAATGGGTGGACTTCCATATCTTGATTTTCTAGTCTGAAAGAGCAGTGCAATGACTGAAGACTACAGGAGTACTAAAGATCTTTATTACTTTGCAGTTTTCTCGAGAGATTGTATCATGTCAAAAAGGATGTTTTGGCACAAAGAAATCCTATAGCTCCATCCTTCACTGTTACAGTTACTTTTATGAGTTGATGGCTGATTTAAATTGAATTAGATTCTGAGATGCTCTTAAGTTTTCCTAACACAGTGGCTTGCATGCGTGTTCTCTTCTGTATTCAGTTTCTACACAGACATAGTGAAAGAGTTTGTGAATGTGCTTACATGAACAACACAGTGTATGCTTTTAGTCTTATTTCTTTACACATAATTTTAAGTTTCACATGTAGATGATTAAAAGGTGTTGTAAGCAATGACCTAGTCAAAGCAGCACAACTTTTACACAATTTTACAACCTCCTCTAGAACTGTTTATTGCTGAAAAAAAGCACTTAATCTCTAACTAAATTCACCTGTTAGGTTAGTGTATCTGAGATTTTAGCTGTATTTAAATAACTATGGAAATACAAATGAGCTAGTTCTTTCTTTTCATTTACTTCAGTTAAAATGTATCACCATTTTCTAACTCAGATTCTACAAGTAAAAAAATAGCCAATTATTTGACTTAAAATTTTTAATTGTCCTGTGTGAAGTCATTTATAAATCAGAAAAGTATCATTATGTAAATCTATATAGCTTGTGTATCTGAGTTTTTAATTGTGCTTTTCACTGCATTCAACAGAAAATGTACCAAAACTTGATGAATTTTAATGTATCGTGTTTATATAGATAGGTAGATACTGATGCTAGTGTTTAACTGTTTTTCTAGGATTCTCTTGGTCACTTTCACCAAGTATGGTATGATGACCCTCACAGCATCTCTCTGAAAGCAGCATATGTGAAGAATCGAGGTTTAAGGGGCATTGGCATGTGGAATGGAAATAGTCTTGACTATTCCAGGGAAGCTGTAGCGGAACAACAAACTGAAGCAATGTGGCAAGCCCTGACACCGTAAGAACTATGTGAGCCCGTGATTTAGAATGATGAAAAATATTTTTTTTATTATGGCTTATACTATTGTAGATTTTGACTTTATATAAATGCACCACGATTATAAAAACTTTGAGAACTAGCCACATTCATCGTGTTATTTTCTATGCAAAGCTGTATTTTCATTCTTCAAAAAGTTCCAATGTTGCTTTAGCAGTGTGGTTTTTTGTTTAAAGACTGCTCATAGTTTTCATTTTTCACAACTGCCCTAAGCTGGGTAAAGCTTGAACCCAGCGTGTATCTGGTAACAAGTAAGACCAAGTGGATTTACAGGAGCCATCTAATAATGGTCCTCTGCTAAGGCTGCCTGGTGCAGCAAGTATTCATTCATTCTGTGGTCACATGGTGCAGTCTCAGCTTTCTGACTTCCCACCCCAACCTATATTTTAGCTAAGTCACTCGAATCAGATTAAACACAGGACGCTGGAGAGACAGACTGTTGCTTGTACTTGGTTACTCTTCGAGAGATTAAAATATTTTATAGATTCAGAAATTGCGTAACATGAAGTAGTTGCCATTAAGATTTTTATCAGACTTGTTGTTAGACAGGAATATTCAACAAACCCCAGTTTCACCGTGTTTATGTATCACGTAAATTCCTTAGGTTCAAAACCCAAAAATCTTGGACCTTATCTTGAAGAGGGAACATAATATGGAGAGGACTTGAATTATGTTTTCTTCCATTTCAAACTTCTTTACTTCCGAAAAACTAGAACTCAGAAGCTTATTTAACGAACTGCACAGGTATTTTCTCAGCACACTTTTATGATTCTTTCAGTAGCCTGTTTGTTTTTATGTGGTGTTGCCTCTGCGCTAATACAAGGTTATATTTTCTTTCTAGTTCATATTTTTCATAAAATGATTTGCCTAGAGAAATGGTGTAACTTTTTAAAATCTCTGTAGTCATGGAAAGGTTGACTGGTGTTTACGGGATTATTGTTAAATAAAATGCTGTCTTCATGAAGGTTGGTAAACAGTATCTGTTTGTTTATGCTTTACTTGTTCCACAGCTTACAGCCCACACTGCTTCTCTGCTTCTCAGAACTGTTTCACAACCAGATTAAAGTGCAACTATGCCCTGCTTAAGTGACTCCATTAATTAAACAATTTATTTAATTAGGTATATGTAGTCAGTTGTGGGGTGGTTTTTTTGGTTTGGTTTGGTTTCTTTTCCCCTTGCTAAATAGTTACTGGGAAAACACCACAGAATAGCAGCACTACCATAATGGCTACTGAGAAGAGTAGAAGACTTCCTGTGATTGCCTGACTGCTTGATCCTACAGGTGATGGAGAGCAGAAGGTGAAGCCTACTGCTCTCACATTTAAAAAAAAAATCCCTTGGAAAATCAGAGGGCTCTACACTAGAACTCTGGACTGTAGGTTTTAGGAGAAACTGATAAATTTATTTGACAGATACTTCAGAATTTATATTACTATTTATATTCATACGCTAAAATACCGTGAGATAGGTATTTGTGAAATTGAGACGTCTTCTGGAATAGACGGTCTGAGCTACACAATCCTAACTGAAGGCCAGAGGACTTTATAATAAAACTCTCCTTCCTGTAAGAGTCAAGAATCATGAGTTGATATTTTTTATTTTTAATTTGGGTTCAGATTTTCCAGTAGCTAGTTGTCTGCTCTTGTGTCTTAGATAAGACACAATTCTGAAATACAGGATGTAGGATTCAATCCTGAATTGAGCAAAAGGGGTTGTAGATTTAATAATGAATGTAATACTTTAGCACTAAAATCTTTGTTAAATCCTATCTCTAAGAAAATTAATTGGATAATGGGTGGGTTGACTCAAGACATCTGGAAGTTAGTCCTTTTGAGAGTGGCATAATTTTCTTACCGTATTACTGATTTCCCATGAGACTTCCAGTAATAAATACAGCCTTTTTAGCTTTTTAGTTGACGTTAATTCGTAGCATGGTACTGTTCTGCTTAATGTAGTAACATCTGGAACTGCAAAGCAGCAAACAGGAGAGCTTGAAAAAAATTACTACCAGGAAGAGTTTTCTGATTGCTCTTTCAGAGAATTGTTATCTAAGCAGATGCATGAGCTTGAACTTAAAGAAAAACAGAGTATGTGATATTGTAAATAGGACCAGGATCATCATTACAGCTTGTCCAAGACAAAGCTTCCATCTTCCACTGAGTAGAGAAGGTGGTTAATGTCCATGTGGCTTTCCTAATAAGAGAGGGAACAAAACCAGCTAGATATGAAATAAGGTGAGATGATTTTGTTCATAATAATAATCGTAATAATACATTGGTAATTTATAGATAGGCATACTTCCAATGACAAAACTATACTTCAGTAAATAGTTAAATAAAGGATTACTGTTGCTGTAGTTCTACAGAAGTCGTGTATTAATCATCTTCAAAAGTTAAATGTGTATGTCTGAAAATAAGAACAGGCGGTTATAGATTATAGGTTTATTTGCTTAATAGGTATTTTGTTAATGAAATAACATCAGCATACCCACGTGATGTCAAAATTTACTAATTTGCACTTTTAAAATAACTTAGCTTTGTTTTAGACACATTACTAGGTTAAGCTGTACGTTTAAGTAGCTGACTAATCTTTTATAGTAAGAGTGAGATTTAACAAGTGAGCTGCAGTACCTCAGTAGCCTAGTATACAAATTCCATGTCTATATAGGTGATGTCTTTTTACAAGGTAACTTCAAGAACATGCAAACAAATGCTCTGAAACTCTGAGCTTCTATATACATTACAGAGCTTCTGAAGACTTTACAGACGTTAAAGTCATCATCCTCTTAAAGTCCTGATTTTTCTCGTCTGGAGAATGAAAGCTGAATGAATCTTCTTCTGTGTCAGTTCTGCTCTCAGGGCTCGTAAATCAGACGCTGCCTGCTTTCTCATCTGCAGAAAGAACAGTAATTTAAGGAATTGCAATTTAAGGAAGTTTTTGGAGTTGACATGTATATGGGTTTGTATAACTAAGACTGAAATTTATACAGGATGGCTGAATACAGGGTACATCTTTCATCTTTAAAATTTTACATGTCTAATTAGATAGCCTAGTTCTAAGCACTGCTTTCTTCTGTACTTTGCCTTGGTGTTTTTAAAGACAACTGTGAAATTCATTGTTCTTTCCACTCCTTGTTATACAATGGAGGAGGCAGAATGAGCACATCCACCCTTGATTACTCAGTAAACAGGGGCATGGGCAATCTCGGCAGACTCCTATTTCAAGCATTCAAAGCTGAAAAGCTATCCCATGTGAAGGACAGCCTGTACCATCATCTTCCTTCCAAAGGGAGCCATAGGCAGCATGTGTGGAATAAAACAGATGAAGAGGACTGCCATCTGCTTGGAGAGCCATTCTTACTTTTTTTCTTGGTACCAGTTTGGGTTTTTTTCTTAGCCATGGTTTACTACTGATCAGTGCTTCACCAAGTACGTTCCTTCAATTACCTTTAGAGTGAAAAGGGAGTTTTATGAAAGAGATTGTGAAGTGTAGCTTACATTGTACCTTGAACATCTAAGTAAGTGCTTGAATGCCATACATTCAAAATCATCTAATAACCTGGTGTTCTGAAGTAATTTGGCTAAAGTGATAAAGTTACGACAACAACTAACGTCATAAAACTGACAGCCTAAACCAAGAACTGTTTAGCAAATATTTACATCACCTAATGTTTGGGAAGATTTAAGTTTTTTTATACATAGTAACATTTTGACCATTTTAATTAAAAGGCAGAGTACCTTAATTTCTGTTACGAGTTTCATTTTTGTATCATCCAGCTTCCTCCTCAGCTGATCGAGTTCATGCTGCGCTGTAGTAATCCGGATGATTGTGTAATTCTGTATGAAACAACACCACCACCACTTTATGTGCAGCATTAGTGCATCTCTTCATTCACTGGGTGTCACCTCACCACTCAGAAACAACCCTCTAAACTCTTTCCAGCTCCCCAGCTTTCTTCCAGTCCTTAACATGTGCTGGGCTGTCTCAGGTTTGTAAGCTGTCTGCTCCCCAAGAGAGTGCAGCTCCCTTCAGCTGCCAGCCCTTCAGCTGAGCACAGGGGTTCTTCCACTCCCTATTGCTTTGGGAAGTTAAGATCCAGATCAGATGTCCTGAGTGATATAGCACATTGTTTTGCAATTATCTTTTATGGCTTCTCCCCATTTATAATAAAAAGGCATACTGCAAATCATGGGGTTTTTTCCTCTCACAGGCTTAGCATCACTGTCACAGTACATTTACTGATGAGATATTGCTACACTCGTGATGTTTAGTGCAAATAAACTCCTGGTTATACAGCACATCATTTCAGCAGTAGCTGTGGGTGGGCCTATCTCTAAATTAACTGTAAAACTAAAATTCATGTTTTCAAAATGTAGGTTCTGATACTCAGCTTGTGTAAGTCAGGCAGCTGTGGTCCATTGAAGTCATCAACGCTGAGGACTGGGGGTGTATGTGGTAATCTCTTGATGTTCCAAGCCTTTAAAAATGCTACTGAAGTGCCAGCTAAAGCCAATGATGTGATCAAGTTGCCCATACAAGGAGTCATCAAGTGGTATCTGTAGCCTCTCATCTCCCACTGTAAGCTTCTCCCCACCCAGGGGTGTAGCTGCCCATGTACCAGGGTCTGGGTCCCAGCTGTGACACCACACGGCTGTGTAACCCTGGCTCAGCCCACCGAGAAAGCACAAAAGGTACAAGTCATGCAGGGAAAAAACAGGCAGGGCTGTCAGACTCGTTTGGGGCTACTGAGGAATCACCGTATCGTTGGTTTGAGTCACCAGGGAGGACAAAGCTGGTGGAAGAGGGGGAACCAGCAACAGTGGGATCTGTTCTCCAGAGCCGGATTCTTCCCGCCTGACTGATGCCTGCCTGGCCAGCACGTAGCTTAGAAGGGGTGGAGAGCATAATTGTGCTTAGCCTAATAGCTCGTTAAATCCTAGCCAACTTCTGTGTGTGTGCTAGCCAATAAATAACTGCTGTATGCATGTTAAGTTGTACATATGCTTCACATATGAGGCCTTTCTGTGCCTAGCCAGACACCTAAAAAAACCCTGATGTTCCCCCCCCCAAAGAACCAATATCATATCTGAACACAGTAATATAATGTAATATCAAGCCTATAAATATTTGTATATTGTAGCTATTTATACTAAGATAGCTCAAATAATACACATTGGTATGTAATATACACTCTTAGATTGCATATACACTCTCCCACCTTTCAGATACAAGAAAGGGACATTTATTTTTCCTGGTCTAGCTTCAGATTTGCCAACAGACTTGCTTCCATTAACGCATTTAGAAAATTAGCAGATACCACTATTGGGACTAGACAAAACACAACTAGACCAAACACAACTAGAATTCATTACCTCTGTACATGAAATTTGGGTTGATGAGAACAATATAGAACTGAATGATTCATTAATCATACTGAACAAAAGGGGATTTTTGTTACAGGAAGGTATTGTACAAACACAAAGCAGAAAGAATCAAATGCTCAAACTCAAGCACTTCACTTCTTCAGGCTTTTTTGAGAAGAATGGGCTGAAGTAATTCTACATCTCAGACCATTGAGGGATATTTGGCTGTTAAAGCTAGTTTACAAGTCAGTGGTTGGTGATGAATTTGTTATTTTAATTTATATTTTTATACCAAAAAAACCCACAACCAACCAGGCTGTGTAAAAAGAGAGATGAAATAATACAAGCAAATACCTTGGAGGTGGTCATACTGTTTGGTTGTTTCCGGCTATCTCTGGCTTCCAATTGCAAGAGTAATTTCTGGTGGTAAAGCTCTAAATCTTGTCGTAGTTTGTTTAAAGCATCCTCCAGTGAAACCGTAGCTTTCTTAGTTTCAAAGTACTTCTTTTTCCATTCCTCACGAACTAAACAGGAAAACAGTAATACTGTTTGGTCTTGTTCTCTTTACCATAAGGTCTATTGAAGACAGTAATGACCAGCTGATCTCACAAGATTCGGTTGGCCAATGCAAGCATTAAAACATGGCAGCAGGTTTCTTCAAAAAAAGCAATTAGTGAAAATCTTCATTAAAATGACATTCACTATAAATGCAACCAAATTTTCGCACAATAACCTGCAACAAAAGGGTCTAACTGTCCACTGAGATATAACACAAGGTCCAAAACCAAAATTTCATTCAGCCTGGCTGTTCTGCAGGTTTTGGCTGCACAGTAAGTGCTCCAGACCTGTGCAGACTGGTATGCCCACCACAGTCTGAAGTCCACAGCTTTACTGTAGCAGAATGTTTAGCACTGTAGATGTATGCAAAATAACATGAGCTCTGCAGGGCCAGAGATTTTGGATGGCTTAGTTTTATACAGAAGTCCCAAGATTATGGGCAACAATTATTTACCTTTGCACTTAACTATGATTCCTCCTATGTTGTTAACCTGCTGTGAACAGCTGGCACATAATCTCCCCATATACTGGATCTCTTTTCCTACAGAGTATGTTGAACTGGTTGACAGCCAGCTGAATATGAGCCAGCAGTGTGCCCAGGTGGCCAAGAAGGCCAATGGCATCCTGGCCTGTATCAGAAATAGTGTGACCAGTAGGAGTAGGGAAGTGATCGTGTCCCTGTACTCGGTGCTGGTGAGGCTGCACCTTGAATCCTGTGTTCAGTTTTGGGCCCCTCACTACAAGAAAGATGTTGCGTTGCTGGAACATGTTCAGAGGAGAGCAACCAAGCTGGTGAGGGGTCTGGAACACAAGTCATACGAGGAGCGGCTGAGGGAACTGGGGTTATTTAGTCTGGAGAAGAGGAGGCTGAGGGGAGACCTGATC